CCCAGACCAGAAGCGAATAGCGTTCGCTAACCAGGACGCTGATCGCCTGGCCAAGCACGCCCTCTCGCTTCATCCTCAGCCTGCACCTGCTGATCTGGAGAGGCTGGACAGGCAGGTGCAGGACCTCCGTGCGCGTGCGCTGATGTTTGGGAAGGTGCTCTCTCTCTCTCTCTCTCTCTCTCTCTCTCTCTCTCTCTCTCTCTCTCTCTCTCTCTCTCTCTCTCTCTCTCTCTCTCTCTCTCTCTCTCTGTTTCTAAGCTGAACTTTGAGAGACCCCCGAGGGAGAAGAGGTTGCCTAGAGTTCCCCCCCCCCCCCCGCCTGATTGGCATGAATGGGAGGAGCTCAGTGGTGACCGACCCGCTTTCAGATGTAAGAAATGTTTCAGGATTTCTTTTGAGGGCGAGTCCCGCCCGATGAATGGTTGCGCCGGTTTGTCCACGGCCCTGAGGCGCCTCCAGGGTGCAGAGACCGAGAGACAACACAAGTTGGGTTTTGCTATCCTGCACAAAACCCCAAAACCGCTGTTTTTCTGTTTTGCCTGCGGAGCATTCACCAGCAGGCGATGTTTTGCTTGGCCAGACCTGTCTCAAGAAGCTGAGCTCTGCGGGAGAGCAGGCGCTCACAAGACCTCAGTCTGGCCTCCACCCCCATTACAGAAAGAATCCTGAGGGTGATGATTTGCTGACGCCTGCTAGAGCGCAGTCGAAGTCGGTGCTTCTTGCCCCTCCTGGCCCCCTCGCTGCTGGGTCGTCTCGCTTGGTCGACTCTGACCGACTGCGAGCGCTGGCAGCGCGTATCCAGGCCAAGGAGGAGGCATCCAGGCGATAGCTGCTGCCTGAAGCTGACCTTCTGCCGCAAGGTCGTCCCGCCCCTCCTCCCCCTCCCACGCCCATTCTGGCACACCCCTCACACGTTTCGTGGCCCCATAGGGAGCTCCACCGAAGGCCCCAGTGGCTGCGCCCGCATGCGGTCCCACCCCCCATTCTGGCACACCCCTCGCACGTTTCGTGGCCCCATTGGGAGCTCCACCGAAGGCCCCAGTGGCTGCGCCCGCATGCGGTTCCACCCCCTCATTCTGGCACGCCCCTCACACGTTTCGTGGCCCCATAGGGAGCTCCACCGAAGGCCCCAGTGGCTGCGCCCGCATGCGGTTCCACCCCCCATTCTTGCACACCCTCACACGTTTCGTGGCCCCATAGGGAGCTCCACCGAAGGCCCCAGTGGCTGCGCCCGCATGCGGTTCCACCCCCCATTCTGGCACACCCCTCACACGTTTCGTGGCCCATAGGGAGCTCCACCGAAGGCCCCAGTGGCTGCGCTGGCATGCGGTTCCACCCCCCCATTCTGGCACACCCTCCACACGTTTCGTGGCCCCGTAGGGAGCTCCACCGAAGGCCCCGGTGGCTGAGCTCCACCGAAGGCCCCAGCGGTTGCGCCTGCATGCGGTTCCACCCCTCATTCTGGCACACCCCTCACACGTTTCGTGGCCCCATAGGGAGCTCCACCGAAGGCTCCAGTGGTTGCGCCCGCATGCGGTTCCACCCCCCATTCTGGCACACCCCTCACACGTTTCGTGGCCCCATAGGGAGCTCCACCGAAGGCCCCAGTGGCTGCGCCCGCATGCGGTTCCACCCCCCATTCTGGCACACCCCTCACACGTTTCGTGGCCCCATAGGGAGCTCCACCGAAGGCCCCAGTGGCTGCGCCCGCATGCGGTTCCACCCCCCATTCTGGCACACCCCTCACACGTTTCGTGGCCCCATAGGGAGCTCCACCGAAGGCCCCAGTGGCTGCGCCCGCATGCGGTTCCACCCCCCATTCTGGCACACCCCTCACACGTTTCGTGGCCCCATAGGGAGCTCCACCGAAGGCCCCAGTGGCTGCGCCCGCATGCGGTTCCACCCCCCATTCTGGCACACCCCTCACACGTTTCGTGGCCCCATAGGGAGCTCCACCGAAGGCCCCAGTGGCCCTGCGCCCGCATGCGGTTCCACCCCCCATTCTGGCACACCCCTCACACGTTTCGTGGCCCCATAGGGAGCTCCACCGAAGGCCCCAGTGGCTGCGCCCGCATGCGGTTCCACCCCCCATTCTGGCACACCCCTCACACGTTTCGTGGCCCCATAGGGAGCTCCACCGAAGGCCCCAGTGGCTGCGCCCGCATGCGGTTCCACCCCCCATTCTGGCACACCCCTCACACGTTTCGTGGCCCCATAGGGAGCTCCACCGAACGCCCCAGTGGCTGCGCCCGCATGCGGTTCCACCCCCCATTTCGGCACACCCCTCACACGCTTCGTGGGTGGCTCCATGGGGAGCTCCACCGAACGCCCCAGTGGCTGCGCTCGCATGTGGTTCCCCCCCCATTTCGGCACACCCCTCACACGGTTCGTGGCCCCATAGAGAGCTCCACCGAAGGCCCCAGTGGCTGCGCTCGCATGCGGTTCCGCCCCCTTTTTTTTTGGCACGCCCTTCACTCGTTTCGTGGCCCCATAGGGAGCTCCACCGAAGGCCCCAGTGGCTGCGCCCGCATGCGGTTCCACCCTCCATTCTGGCACACCCCTCACACGCTTCGTGGCCCCATAGGGAGCTCCACCGAACGCCGCAGTGGCTGCGCCCGCATGCGGTTCCATCCCCCATTTCGTAACACCCCTCACACGTTTCGTGGCTCCATAGGGAGCTCCACCGAAGGCCCCAGTGGCTGCGCTGGCATGCGGTTCCACACCCCATTCTGGCACACCCCTCGCACGCTTCGTGGCCCCATAGGGGGCTCCACCAAAGGTCCCAGTGGCACTGCCCGCTTGCGTCCGCCACCACCCAGCACAGCCCTTGTTCCCTGTGCTTCACCCACCCAGAACAGCGCTTCGTAGCCCTATAAGGAGCTCCACCAAAGGTCACAGCGGCACCGCCCGCATGCGTCCGCCACCACCCTTCACAGCCCTTGCTCCCTGCCTGCGTTTCACCCACCCAGTACAGCGCTTCGTGGCCCCATAGGGAGCTCCACCGAAGGTCCCAGTGGCACCGCTCGCATGCGTCCGCCACCACCCAGCACAATTGCGGCATTCACAACTGCATATGGTTGGGTCCTTCGCCAGGCTAATTTCTTCCGTCGAAGATCCCCCTGTAGGGGGGACAGGCCCGACATAACGCTACCCCCTGGGAGCCCGGTGCCTCCGTGTCTTCGAGCTGGGCAATCCGTCCAGGCTTCGGGGCCCAGGGCCACCACCGGTCGACCGGCCTCGAAAAAGACGGCGCGGAACGGTGGGGTCCAGGGTTCGGTCGCGATGTTTCGGGATGCTTCTGCTTTTCTGCGACGTCGGACCTCAGGGTAGGCAGGTGCTCCTCCTAGGGGGCCACATGCGAACCCTACCCCTACCTTCCACGATTTCTGAAGGGGAGGGTGGGGTTCACTTCGCTCAGGAGCTCCCGAACGAAGTGAACCCCACTCTCCCCCTCAGAAATCGTGGGGGGTAGGGGTAGGGTTCGCATGTGGCCCCCTACCTCCGCAGCTCCGCGGCGCTGTCGCACTGGGGGCAGCGTGGCCGAGCTTGCGTATCTGGCGGCGCAGCGCATTTCGCAGCTCCCCAGGAAATTATGTTTCATCCTCTGTCGCGTAACGGTCGATACCCGGGCCAACCCCGAACCCCGCGGGCAACAGCAACGGCTGCACGTTAGGGGAGGCGGAGGAGGAGGGGGGGGGAATCACCCCCACATGCTGGCGCTCGCGCGCATACTATGGCGATCGCAGCGCAAGACCGCCCCGACCTGTCCCACCCCGCCCAGGCGTTACCTCTACCGAGGCCCCACCCTGGGTAACGACCAGGGCATCGGACACCGCCGCTGGGGTGCACCTGTCGGCGACTACAAAGGGTGTGGTTACGCCGGGGTGTGGTTTGCGATCGGCGCCCTTCAAGCTCTGAGCAGCCCTGGCCGGCTTTCAGAAGTTGGTCCTGCAGGGGAAAGGTTCGCATGTGGCTGCCCACCAGCACGCCGCGGGGGCCGCATTTGGCGGGCCGCCCCAGGGGCTGGCCCGTGAGCCCCGGCTGCAGGGCCAGATCCGGATGCGGCTGGTCGTCGGCCTGACTCGGCGCTTCGCTTCGCCGTGAAGCTCGGGCCGGGCGAAAGGGGGGATTGGGAAAGGGGGGGTTACGAAATCTGCTGCATGCAGCTGGTTTCGGCCTCACCGAGGGGCCCATTCCTCGATACATAGCCGCCTTCGGCGCCGGGAGGCGCCGGGAAAATCAGCTACGTGAGCTGATTCTCAAACCCCCCCTTTGCTATCCCCCCCTTTTGCCCGACCCGAGACTCGGCGCTTCGCTTCGCCGTGAAGCTCCCCAAGAACAGGGAACTCCGCTGCTGGTGGAGTGCCACCTACTGCAGTTGCACAGCGGTCGGACGATCACGATGGTCAAGGGCCTCTTGGTGAAGGGCTTCCCGCTCTACATCATCGTGATCTCAGCCGTCTCGAGGCGCGTTCTGGCCGCGACCCCTCGTCTGGTAATGGCAAGCGCAGGAGCAATGATGAGAGGAATGACTTCGTTCCACAGCGTGCCTTAGTGCCGTCGGCGTGGTTCAATTGCTGCTCAACCTCCTGGTCATCCTCTTCCTGCTGATGCTGATTATTTGGGCCTAGCAAGGGCAATGGTAGAGGCAATGCCAATAACAGCGACGATGGACAATGGGTCCATCAGCGATGCTGTACCCACAGGCTCGCGTTGTTGGTGGTAGTTTTAGCACCGTTCGCGAGTTATCTCACGAACGCCAAGCGTGTGCCAGAATGCGCTGGTGTTGTGCTGATGTTGCGTGCGTTACCGTTGGACGCGATGCTTTGACGCGTGAGGTTGTCTTGTGTTTCTCTGTCGTCATGCGGGCGTCTTCTGATGATCCCCAGCTGGGTCCAACGCCAGAATCCTCTTCCTCCTCCTCCTCCTCCATCCTCGCTGCAGACGCGAAAGCGTAGTTTCTTGTCTGTTTGGGGGTACCTGCGTTGGCAAACCGCCAGTCGCTCATTCCCGTGGCTGCCCACTGCGTGGACAAGCTCGAGGGCATGCGCTCGAAGAAGGTCCTGGTCGAGCTGTCCGAGGCGCGCTCGCCCGGCCGGAGAGGTGGTCTGGCCACGGGGCCGCGCAGAGACGCGCGGGGTCACTGAGGAGGAGCAGGCGCGGGTGGCGGTGGTGGTGCTACTGGAGGAGGACGGGGGGAGATGTGGAAGATGTCTCCGGCCGGGCCGGTGGGGACACCTGCAGTTGTCCTCTTCTCTCACCTCTCTGTGCGTGACCCTGAAGGCGCACGCGTCTCTGTGGAGTGTCATGCGGCAGAGTGCCCTGTGCAGGCGCCAGTCCACAAGGGGTGGGTATATGTTGATTTGCTGTCTTGCTCGTTCATCCCTCTCACAGGAGACGGGGGAGGTGGAGGAGGAACAGGATGAGGTGGAGGTGGAGAATGGAGAGGAGGAAGCTTCGGAGAGAAGGGGAGGATCATGAGGACAACGGATGAGGAGAAGGCAGGAGGGAGGAGCTGGATGCCGTTGAGGAACCACCTCTCTGGTTTTGGGTCTTCGAAGTCCTTCGGATCGGTCTGACGTGCTGAGGCGGATGATGATGATGTTGACGTTGATGCTGCTGCGGGCAATGACGATGATGCTGCTGATGATGATGTTGATGATGATAGTGATCATGATGATGGCGCTGGTGGTGATGATGAGGATCATGGGGATGGGGATAAGGATGATGGGGGCGGTGGTCTTGGTGCTTCTGAGTGTGAGACTGACGGCGATGACGATGGTGATGATGCTGATGATGAGGAGGGGATGACGTATGATGCCGATTACGATGACGATTTCGATGGCGTTGACGACGATGATGAGGATCATGTTGACGAGGCTGCTGTTGATGATGATGCTAATGACGGTGGTGGTTGTGGTGGTAGATGGATGTTACTGTCGTTGATGATGATTCGATTGACGGTGATGGTCATGTTGGTGATGGATATGATGCTGATGACGATGATGACGATTCTGATGGTGATGGTGATTATGATGATGATGTTGCTGATGATACTGATGGCGATGCTACTGATTATGATGACCATGCTGCGGCTGCTGATGATGGTATTGGTGAGGACGATGATGATGCTGATGGTAATGATGCTGACGATGCTGATGATGATGTTGTTGACGTGATGATGTTAAGGATAACGAATATGACGTTGATGATGACGCTGCTGGTGGTTGTGATGGTGATGGTACTGGTGAAAGTGGTGGTGATGATGCTGCCGATGCTGACGATGATGATACGGTTGATCGTGATGAGTATGCTGATGACGTTGTTGCTGCGGGCGGTGGTGGGGATGCTGATGCGGCTGGTGGTGATGTTGCTCATGGTGATGATGGCAACTAAGGGTACGATGATGATGATGATAGCAATGCTGAGGCTGACTGCGTTTATGCTGAGTGGAAAGGGTAATGACATGAGGATGATGGTGATGATGTTGTTGATGGTGATGAACATGGTGATGATGATGCTGGCGAGGAGGAGGAACCGGAAGAGGAACAAAAAATGACGACTGACATAATAGGGGTCGCCGTCGTTGTTTCGGTTGTCTTCCAAGGCCATGAGTTGCAGGGGTGGCCATTCGAATGTATGGCGCATGCCCAGGCGGGGGAGTCCGTTCAATATGTGAAGCGACGGGTGTTGTTCTTGAGTTGGGGTTTGATCTGATGACATCGCACCTGCTGGCACTTTGGACTCTGTGCGCCGTCTCTGATATCCCAATGCCGATCGCGAAGACCTAGCGACCGGCGCGGCCGACCCTGAAGGGGGACGACGACAGTGGCGGGGGCGGCGGCGAGGACGACGACGCTGACGTGTGGCAGAGTCCTCAGGGATGCTTCTTGGGGTCTCTTTGGAAGGGTCTCGGGGGCCTTTCTGGGCAGGAGTTAGGGGGCCTCTTGGGAGCCTCTTGGGAGCCTCTTGGGGCCTGCTGAGAGCCTCTCGGGGCCGAGGGCTCGAAATGTCCGTTCGGGTCCCCCTTCTGGGCACGCCTGCTGGTACTTTGGGCCCTCTGCGCCATCTCTGAGATCCCAATGCCGATCGATGGAATACTTTTGGGAGCCTCTTGAGAGCCTCTTCGGGCTTCCTGGGGACCTCTTGTGGGCCTCTTGGGAGCCTCTTGGCGGCCTCCTGGGAGCCTCTCGGGGCCGAGGGCTTGAAATGTTCGTTCTTTGTCCCTCGTCTGGGCACCCTTTTGGAGCCGTCTTGGGGGCCGTCTTGGATGCGTCTTGGGCCGTCTTGGGGCCCTCTTGGGCCGTTTGGGGTCCCTCCTGGAGCCCTCTTGGGCCGTGTTGGGCGATCTGGGGGGCCCCTTGGGCCGTCTTGGAGCGTCGGGAAGCGGAAGAGGCGAGAACGCCGAAAGGCTCCAAAAACCAAACTGGGAAATCAGTGATTTGTCCTTTTGGGGCCTTTTTGGGAGTGTTCCTTGAGGCCTTTTGGGGCGTCTTGCAAGGCTCTTGGGCCGTTTGGAGACCGGTAAGGCGTCTTGGACAGCTCGCTCGGCGATTCGGGGGCATTTTGGACCGTCTTGGGGGCCTCCCTTGGCCCGTCCTGGGGCTTTCTTGGGCCCCAGGACTCCCTGGGAGGAAGTCGTACCTGACCCGGGCCCCCCGCCGTACCCCCCCGGGACCCTCTCTGTGACCACCCCCTCTCCCGGTTGGGGAGGGATCAAAGGGAAGGGGAATTCCTTTCGAGTCAATTGCTGGCGCGCAAGCGGCGACGGGCCCGGCGCTTGAGGAGGGCCCAGGGAAAGGAGGGGGGGGAGCGGCGACGGGCCCAGGGGAAAGGGGGGGGCGCAGGGAAAGGGGACGACAGAGACGACGACTAACGAATGACGGAGACGACGACTCGAACGGACAAGCCCCTCACAGACGCCAACAGGGTCGGCGGAATCTTGAGCCGATCGAAAAGAAAACACGGGGGGAGGAGGGATGGAGAAGGAGCAGGGGGAGGAGGAGGATGATGCCGATGAGAAGGAGGGAAGAGGGCGGAGGAGGAGGGAGGGAAGGCGGCCGGAGACGAGAGGAGGGAGCAGGGAACAGGGAAGCAGGGGAAGGATGACGAGGGGGGAGGAGGAGGAGGAGGGAGAGGAGGAGGAGGGAGGAGGAGGAGAGGAGGAGGAGAGGAGGAGGAGGAGAGGAAAGGAGGAGGAGGAGGAGGAGGAGGAGGAAGAGCAGGACGAGGAGGAGGGGGAACAGGAGGATGAGGAGGAGGAGGAGGAGGAGGAGGAGGAGGAGGAGGGAGGAGGAGGAGGAGGGGGGGAAGCTCGATCCTCGGGTCTCGATGCCAGCGGCTGGAGTCCGGGGCGCGGGCCTCGAGAGCGGGGGGAGGGGAAGGCGGGGGCGAGGGCGAGCGGGGGGGGGCGGGGGAGGAGGCGGGCAGGGCCGGCGGCGAGGCCCGGCGCCGCGAGAGGGTGCGAGACGTGGTTTGGAGGGGGCGAGGGGAGAGGGGGCGAGGCAAGACTGGGGCGCTGGTTCGGGCCGAGCGAAAGGGGGGGGGAGGAGGAGGAGGAGGAAGAGGAGGAGGAGGAGGAGGAGGAGGAGGAGGAGGAGGAGGAGAAGGAGGAGGAGGAGGAGGTGGAGGAGGAGGAGGAGGAGGAGGAGGAGGAGGAAGGGGGGTACGAAATCTCCTGCATGCAGCTGGTTTCGGCCCCGCCGCCAGGCCCACTCCTCGATACATGGGCGCCTCCCGGCGCCGGGAGGCGCTGGGAAAATCAGCTACGTGCCTGTTGTTCCCCCGAGAGAGGGGGCGAAGCAAGACTGGTGCGCTGACGCCGTATGTGATAGTGTTCTTATTCGTCATTTTGCCGATCGGCGCGGGTCCTCGCACCGCTCTCCCCCCCCCCCTTCCGTGGAGTAGATTTTGGCAGTTTTGGCGCCTGCCTGTTTCGAGCAGGTGGAGCTTCCCCCACAGGACGCACTGCTGCAAACAGTCGCACTAAGCAGAGGTCCAGAGCCAGACCCCTCCTCCTTCCCCCCTTCCGCCCATGTCGAAACGCCGAATAAGAAAGCGCTCACTATCTGTCACCGTGGAGTTGAGTTCCCTGTGCTTGCGCAGAGTCGAGTGGCGAAGAAGGCGTGGATCCTGAGAGGGCAACCCTGTCCACGAGTGGCCCAGAGGTCCAGAGATGGGAAGGCCATGAAGGAGGCGTGGCAAGCTCTCCGGCTGGAACACCACTCTTGGTGGTGCCAGAAAGTGGCAAACGATGCGGCGAGCGCGACGTTCCGTCGGATGGGGGCTTTACGAAAATCCTAGAATGGGGCAAACGCGGCAACCATACCGCAATTTTGGAGGGGCCGATACTTTTCTGATTGGACAGCATCATATCGAAATCAATGTTTGGGCAATCTCGTATGTGCATGTATCTGTATACGTGTGTAAAAGTAGGTACCAGGGAAGCGGGGGAACACAGACAGTACCTTGTGAGAGAGGGGAGGTTTTCACACTGTGCAATTTCTGCGACATCACCTGCTGCTGTGCATCGTACCCGCTTCTCCCGTAGCCATTCTCGAGCGTGCCGAAGCCCGTGGACGGGGGAGGGGAGGGGAAGCAGCGGCGGGGCCCGCCTGGCCCAGTCTGGCTTGCACCGTCGGCTGGCCCCAGAGGGGCTTTGAGCCTGGAGCATGCGAGCACACCACGGAGGAGCGCGGCCCGGAGAGAGAACTTGGCATCGCTCGGACGTGTGCCTGTTTCCTTCGGCGATGACCATCGAGGAGCATCCTTGATAATTTCATTTCGCGAAAGAAAAACCACGCACGACACCGAAGAAAGCACAGGGAAGGGACGTCCGAGCGATGGCCAGGAGAGGGAGAGGAGGACCGACCTCCCGAGCCGCCGCGCTCCCGCGCAGGCGCTGAACGTGCTCGCGGAGCAGGTGTCGTGAGAGGGCGCCGCGCCGTGCCCCGCCGTCGCGCGGCGCGCCCGCGCCGGGCAGCGTTGCAGCGGCCCCCGGCAGGGCAGCGTGGCAGCGGCAGCGGCCGCCGCGCCGGCAGCGGAGCAGTCTGCCCTCGGCAACGGGCGGCGCACGCGCCTGCGGAGGAGCAGCGTTCGGGGGCGGCAAAGAGGGGGCTGAGGACTGAGGGGGGGGATATCCTGGCGGGGGCCGTGATAGTTCCCCAGGTTCCGTGGCGCCTCTTCTTGCTTCATGACGTTCCTGGCCCCGGCCATGAGTTGCACGTGCCGCCGGCCATGAGTTGCACCCCTCTCCTCTTGGACACCCGCCTCTTGACCGCTTCCGAAATGTATAAACCGAGCTCGTTGCCATGCCCGTCCGGGTCCCCGTCCGCATGTACCTTCAATTCGAAGGCGGCATTGAGGAGGTGATGACTGACTAGGGGGGGGGATGTCCTCGCGGGGCGGGGGCCGTAAGATCTCCCCAGGTCTCACGGCGCCTCTTCTTGTTTCAGTGCCCCCCCCCGCTGTTCCGCGCGCATGCTTCGGGCTACGATTTGCGCACCCCCCCCTTTTGGGCGCCCCTCTCTTAGACGCCCCCGATGAATCAACAACACATATGCCCATCCCTTTCTCGCTTTCTTGCTCCTACCTATTTCCCTCCCGCCCGCGTACCCCCCCTCCCTCCTCCCTCCTCTTTCCTCCTCCTGGGGGGAGTGCGGGGAACTTCACATGGACGAGCGAGCCAACTGGTCGAGCCGAGCCGGCCGGCTATCGTGCTGCCACGGGCGCAGTTTTGAGAAGCCCGACGCACGTCAGGCGACTTTCCGCATGCAGGGGTACAGTCAGCCCGCAGAGTAAGGATGAGCAGCTCTCCACGGTTACCCTAGCATCCTTTCCCTTCGACCCATCCTTGGCCACTTTCGCCGCTGGCCGCGCCCCGCTTGCAAAGTGTCGACATGGCCTTCCAAGGCCCTTGCATCCTTAATGTTCGCCCTTTTGCTACGGGTTGGCTGTAGTGCCAGTTGCAGGAGGGGCCTGGGCGGTTCCCAGGCCCTCACGCCAGCGATTCCGAGAGCCCCTCCTCCTGCTTGGCAGGCTAGGAGTGGCCGAGCTCACCGCAGTCACCGCGAGTTCGAGTTCAAGGACCGCGATGCTGAACTCCGCCCCCTTCTGCTCCCTCCATTGGAGGAGGAGGAGGTGGAGGCGCAGGATGACGAGGAGAGCAGTCGGGCCATTGCCACGAACAACGGGGTCCCTCTCCGCAGCTGCCAGCAGCAGTGGATGAGCCTCCTGTGCCTGGGAACTTTTTTACCGGGCTGCGCTGCCGCGTTCTCGTTGTGCGCGGCAGCCGGCCCTGTCTCACCCGGCGGGCTACGCTCGCGGCCATTCACCGCTGGCGCCTGGACTCGCCCCGTGGGCTTGAGAGGCCCCTTTTTCCCCTGCATGGTCGGGGGATGGGCCGTTGCGGTCATTTCGGAGTCACTCACTCGAGGCGGGGATTTCCACAGAACCACCGCCGGGAGGACGGATTTTCGCGGACCTCCACAGCCAGTGGACATGGATATATTTTGGCCCCCAGGTGCCAAAAGATATCTACATCCACCGCCCGCTTGGTGCCCAGGACGTCGGTTGCCAGGTGGTGGATATGGATAATCCCCCGCCTCGCAACTCACAGTAGTCTGTCTCCGGATTTTTGCCGTTCTCAATCGGCTGGGGAGGGTCCGGTCTGCACCGGAGTCGAGCTGCGCACGGGCGCATCACGATCGCAGGAAAAGGAGGACTTCTCAGGCGCACATTCAGGTGGGATAGGCTCAGGGGAGAATGTATCGACCCTTAATATCCCGTGGACCGCCTGTTGGTGGCCCACCACTCAAGGAACTTGCGGTTTCGACATCGAGAGACCATCGCCGATCTATTGGCGACGTATTGCCGATTCCAGGTCAATGTTTTCCTCCCTCAGCCTGTTCCCCCCCTCCCCATCGTGCCACTCAGTCCTCGGACAAGCTCGCCCGGTCTGTGCCCGAGCTCCTAGAGGCCAGCACTGGCCCGTAAGTTCACCCAGAGGCGGCCCATAAGGGGGACGGAGGGTGATTCACACATAGTCGGTTCGAGTCAGTGGAGGAAAATGAACCGAAGCCACTACCCTCGCCTTGTTTTCGCCATCTGGGGCCTCCTGGGAGGCCTTCGTCGCCACGGGCCTGATTCGCATCGAAATTGTTGACGCTTCGCGTATCCCCACCAGCCCATCCAGAAACGATGCTCAGGGGAGTTGAGGTGATCAGGGAAGTCGGGGAGCATGCAGAATAACAAAGGGCGGGGGAAGCTGTCACAGACCCCGAGAGGGGGAGGATGGAAGAGGAGTCGTCGTCGTCGTCGGGAGGAGGAGGAGGAGGGGGAAGAGGAGGAGGAGGAGGAGGAGGAGGAGGACGGAGAAGGAGGAAGAATCGGAGGAGGAGGAGGAGGAGGGGAAGGAGCTTCTTGGGGGTCTTTTGAGGGCCTCTTGGAGGGCTTTTTGGGCGCCTTGGGGCATCTTGGGCGCCTCTTGGGACCCTCTTGAGGCGCTCTGGGGAGCCTTCGGGGCGCTTTTGGGGCCATCTTGGAGGGAGTCGATCAAACAAGAGGGGGGGTTTAATTAGCGTCCCCCCTCGGAAGCCCCTAAAATCGCCTCTTGGACCCCTCTTGGAACGCTCTTGGAGTGCTCTTGGGCGCTCTTGGGGCCGTCTTGGGGCTCTTTTGGGGCTCTCTTGGGGCCCTCTTGGGCCATCTTGGAACCATCTCCAGGCCTCGGATGGCCATCGGAAGCGAAAAGGCGAGAAAGCAAAAATCATTGATTTTCCTTAGGTTTTGGGACGATTTTGGCCTCTTCGGGGCCTCCTTGGGGAGCTGTTTGGCCACTTGGAGTTATCTTGGGGCCGTCTTTGGGCTTCTTGGAACCATCTTAGGAGCCATCGTGAGCGATCTTGCGCTATCTTGAGCCATCTTGGAGCTCATCTTGGGTTCTCTGAGGCGCTCTTGGAGCCGTCTTGGGCCATCTTGGACGCTCTAACTACCCGCGGCCCCCCCCGTCCAGGTCCAGGGGAGGGGGTAGGGGGAGGGGTAAACCCCTCCCCAAGGGGGAAGAGGGAGGGGTGGAAGAGGATCTGCTCTAGACCACCTACGCCCAGAGGGCTGGTGGGATTCTGTTCGGAACGCACCCTCGGAGAGGTCTGGGGACCGGGAGTAGCGGTATCGATATCTTCTGGTTTCCCCAGCGAGGGGTCGGGGAAGGCTTCGGCTGCTCGTTGGGACTCACGGCCACAGTCATGTGGGGCCCTCGAGGCTGGAGCCAGGCGAGGATGGGGACAGGCAGGAGGGGAGCATGATGTACGCAGAGCGGAGGAGGAATAGGAGGGTGGGCTAGGGGCTTCCGGGCAGGGGGGAGAGCAGGAGACGGGGGATGAGACACGGGAAGAGGAGGACGTAGGACTAGGAGGAGGCAAGGTGGGTACGAGGATGAGGCAGATGCGCGCGGAAAGCTTCAGCGCAGACAGCTTCATCGCCTTCGAACGGAATTGCAGCGCGCGCGAAGCCCGCGTGGTATGGATGTCGTAGCCGTATCGTGTGCGTCTCCTTGTGTTGTGCCGTCGCCTTCATCAGAAGGAAGGCGAGAGCGTATGAGAAGCGCGTTTGTGCTATTTGGATCCATTGATTCAGGACATCTGTTTGGTCTAGTTTATTGACTGGTTCAGTTTTTTACCTTTACGTCTTGCTCGTTGGTGAAGGAGCCACCTCGTTCCACTTCGCCGAAGCCCTTCCACTGCGCCAATGCACTAGCTACTATTTCTGGAGCTGGTCGCAGTCGGCAGTGGCAGTGTCGTCAGAGCAGGTTGTCAATCACCGTAATTGCGTTGCACCCCCCCATTCTCGGCGAACCTGCATCAGTGCTCTTCCCCTGGAAGTGGTACTCCGCACACCGACCCCTCAGTAGGAGTTCTCACCAGCATCCTGTAGGATTCCAACTGGGCCCAGAGATGACCCCAGCAGGAGTGCAACAGGAAGCCAGCGCGAAACCAGTCGGATCCCAGTAACGAACTGGTGGCCCAGCGGGCAGGCGGGGGGTCGTTGATCATATCTTTCGATGGTCAACGTAAGGCTCCCTCCAGTCGGCAGGATTCCAGTGGGCCCCCGTAGGTCGTGCCGCAGGGCTCACCAGGGGCTGGCGTCAACGATTGCTCCTCCTCTTCTCCGTGCCCTCCCCCTGCCCCCCCCCCCATCCTGCGGAACGACAATCAGAGCGTGAATTACCTCCCCCGCTTTCGCTTCCAGGCAACCCCAAGCCATACCACGCGCCTCCTCGTCAAGCGGCCTGACCTGTACAGGCCGCAATTTGGCATCGTTTGGTATCTCTTGGAAGCGAGGGTGGTCAGAAGCGAGGTAGGTTTGTTTTCCCCCGAGACAAAGACCACACATCTGTTTGGGTCAGGGCGTGCTGAGCGACAGCGCTCGGCGGTCCTCCCCCCTCGGGACATACTGTTTTGATCTGCCTGCTAATGAGAACGCCGGGGGGAATCGATTACGTGCTGTCGATCACGCCGGGGGGGATTGCTATCGCCGCGGGATGGACTGGGACTATCGATCTACGTGCTATTGCCACTGTTCGAATGCACGTGCTATCGTCCATTTGCTTCTTACGAGTAGTGCGGATGCCACACAACGCTCTTTCCTGGACCTCGTCCCATCAATATCGAACACGCCTACGGCGAATCACTGCCGCCCCCTGCCCTTTCGGAAGCGCCTATGTGACCGAACGTTGTGGCCAGAGGCCTGCCAAGCTATCGGGCGCATGTGTTCCCCGAATCGGTTTGGAAAGCGTTCGGGGAACACGGTGGGGGAGGAGGAAGGGGAGGAGAGGAAGGAAGAAGGAGGATGGAGGAGGAGGCCTCTTGGGAGCCTCTTGGGCTACTCTAGGGTTTTTGGGGGCCATCTGTGCGGTCTTGGAAGCATCTTGGG